TCGACCGTGTTTCAGCAAACGCTGTGCAAACGTTGCACGGGCGCCACGGACGCGCGGGGTGACGCGCTGGGGGGGTGCCCGCGTGGCCCAAGTCCCCGTCGGTATTTTTTCCCCCAAAATACAAGCGGGGACCGCTAAAAAGTAACGCCTTCAATGTATCCACTCCGTACGTTTTTATTGCACCGAATAAACAGTAAAATATTCTTTCTCGAGAATGTCATGACCATTTACCAGATGGCAGAAATAGAGAAGCCCTCTCCCCCTGCCGCCTCCTCTAACACAACGATTGCCAAGCACGACAACGCCAGACCTCGCACGACCTCGGCGGTGAACCCTGCACCTCCGTGCTGATCGGAGGCGCCGTGGTGACGGCTGTTTGCCAAAGGCTACGCGGGTGCCGACGGAATCCTAATGACGTGATGAACGCCGGGCCCTGGTTCCAAGTGACGACCTCAAGTGCAAGGGATCCGCGACATCGGCGTGGATATTTACAGCGCGGCATCGGCGCACCGAGTTATCGGCAGAGCCAAGATAGGAGGGCGTTACTTCCGGGGCAAGCGTTGCCCCCCTTTGGGTGTGCAACTCGCAAAGATGACCCAATCTGTTGCGTATGAGACAGAGGTCGCAAACGGGTTTTGATTCCTTACCTGTACCCGTACCCGGCCGCACCAGGGTCGCAAACGGGTACCTGATTGCGACCTCTGGGATGAAGCCATGTTGCAGGCGCGGGTGGGTTGATTCTAGGAACTTGAATTGTGAGAAGAGACAAGACGTTGGGAAATGAGTGACAAACGGTTACTCACCAGTTACTCACGGCGTACCCGTACCCGTACCCGGCCGCACCAGGGTCGCAAACGGGTACCCGTACCTGGCCGGGTACGGGTAGCTGGGTATCGGGTAGGGTACGGGTATCGGGTACCCGGTTGCGATTAATAGTATGAGATGGCAAAGCTGCAGGCACTGCAGCGTATTCTGACGACACCGCCGATGGAAGAACCTCCGCTAGAGAGCCCAGCCAGAGGGTATTTTGACCGACTTCCCCGCCGGCCGGACGTCCTAGAAGAGGTGGAAGTGAATTGCACTCAAGTCAATTCGTACATCTCGATGAAGGTAGACTGCCTCCCCCCATCCCCCAGCGAGAGTGAACGGCACTCACTCCCTTCGGCTAACAGATCTCCACGAAGGTGAACAAGCAGTTGGCTTTAACCATTCGGCCACCGCCCTTTCAAAACGAACGTCATCAACGTTGACGCCGCGCGGCACTTTTAAGACACCAGGAAGCCAATTCCACGTGGCTCTAACAGCTTCGAAAAAAAAAACGTAACAAGAAAAAAACGCGCGTATTCCCAAGTGTGTATTTTGTGATGACGACGCTATCTTGCGCGCGTGTGTGCTCTAGCGGGATGGCGACTTCAGGGTCTAGGTCCATCGCCTTTGCTGAAAATAGGCTTATCCGTTTAGCGCTTAGTTTTAAAATGGGAAAAGGTTTCTGAAAGTCTTTTTTTTTTGCTGCGGAAAATTTTGCCCAAGTTCGTGTCGCCCGGTTTTCTATCGGGAGTCCGCGAGCCAGGGCCAGAAATTTCACCGGTTGGCCACCACCTGAGGTGGCATCACTTCAAAGGTTGTTCAAACTTCTTGACCAATAACGGTGAATTATATAAATGCCCACTTGAAATTAGCGAGTTTTTGGGTTAGATCGCGTAAATATAAAACCGCCACCAGCCGATAGCCAATCAGTAAGGTTTGTCACGTAAACAAAACGTGCCAATTCGTTACGAGTACAGCACACCGGTGTGTTGGAGAGTAAACCCACAACATTTGCAATTCGAGTACGACGTTTCGCCGGTAATCACAAACAGCATCATCAGGCGACAGCTAGCTATAGTTGTGGAGAAATCCTCCTGTTTCAGGTCTTAAAAGAGAGGGATACATGCGATGCCGTCACCAGAGGGGAGGGGGACGAAATGTATGCATATAATTTATAATGGATATCCATTCCCAGTTGGGTTATTCATGGGGTAATCAACATACATAATGTGCATGCACAACGCGCGTGTGCGACGCACATACATTATGCATGCACGCCCTGCCCCTTGTTTAATCCATTCGTATGTTCGCCGTGTAAATAGATTATTGGTACTGCTAAAAGCTTTGCCACCTCTGGGTTGGCAATTTGTGCTAGGAAAGTGCCTTATGTTAACCCAACATAATAAACTGACTTAACCTTAGGTGGTACCGATTTCTGCTGTGGCCCCATGGACTGTCGGTTAAGTCCCGAATAGCAACACAACTTTATACCATATTCTCCGAATTGCACGACGAACTTTCTTTTTGTCTCGATTAAAAACTTTCGTGACTGCAGGGATTCATCTTCTTGGTTCTTTAGGTAAAGTCACGTAGAAGGGAAATAATAAAAATAATAAAATTATTCTCACGACGTTTCGCCCACTACGTGACTTTACCGAAAGAACCAAGAAGATTTATTTTTGTCCCCCTGTAATTTAAAACCGTGAGTTGGTGACGCGTCTTATAATCTGGTAGCTGTGTGTGTCCACATTGGCGTCGCTTTATCGATGTGGTGCGTCCTTGTTTCCCAGGGCGTCTTAGAATCCGGAGAACACGGTAAAACAAGATTATGTTTACATTGTATCAATCTCCACAACAGTTACCATGACTCTATGTTACAGCTGGACGGAAGGCTAATGCATTTATGCTCCCAATCTCGGTTGCGAAATCATTAAAGAGGACAACATCTGAAAAACCCCGCAAATACAAAAAGCCACACCACCACCACAATGCAGTATTCATGAGGCTCTCTCGCACAGGGTGTGTTCTCTGTGGGGGGCCCCTTCTGATGAGCGGACAATTTGCGAGGAAATTGGTTTCATCTCCCCAGGCCGGGCAGGACTGGGGAATCGGCTGGGAGTGGGTGGAGTGATCGGGCTCCTTGGGGGGGATGACTTGCGGGGGTGACTTAAGTGGTCTCGACAGCGCCAATTTCAGGAAGCGCGATATCCGCCACGTCCAGCGCTCTCCTCCTGTTGCCGAGCTGCACCGATAGGTTAGAGGTGCGGCCGTGCAACAGCGACTGCCGGCAGAAAGGGTCTCCACTAGACGGTTGTTCTGGAGGATATCTCTTCGAGGAGGGGATTTGGCCGACTTAATTCATGCCGGCCAGACGTCGTGGAAGAGATGGAATTAAACCCACATTTTTATCTGGCCAAAACGCAACCTGCCGATCGACCGGCTGAGGATGTCACCCTTTTACCCATCGGCCTATTGGCTTTTCAGAGAAGGGGGACAAAAAATAATCCGTCCCGCAACAACATTTGCTTAAATCGGGCAAACTCTGTGCCGGCATCAACCGTGCTGGTCTCACCAGGAGAGTCGGGCTCGCTCAACAAATGCCGCCGGCTTAACAAGACGTTCCCGGCAAAAGCACTCCTCCTGCACGCCGGGACCCCGCTCTACAGAGAGCCCTCCCGGCCACTGGCAGGGTGAGATCCACGAGTCGAGCGGTGAAGAGAGGGGGCACAAACACACGGGGCGAGTTGGCGAATGGCGTGGCGTGGGTTGGCATGGGCCCTGGTGGGTGCAAGGAATGAAATGGAGTCGTGTAGCGCCCCCTCCCGGACCCGTGGCCCGGTGCAGTTACACCGCCTGCACACTCGGTAGCTGTCCTTCCGCCGCACCTCCGATTAGCACGGTTGGCTACGTACGATGCGAAATAAGTTAAACATACATACACTGGCTGTAAACTTGGCGTTTGAGTTAACCCTAAATCACTCGCCAATGATCCTCGCGCAACGATTGTGGCCCATCGACACTCCATCCCCTTCAACGCACAAGGAAATAATGCACAAGTAGAACAATGATGTGCTAAACGTATTAAAGCTCACGATATGCCGAGTTCGTATATTGTTGGCAAGTACCTAGGCTCTGTTGAGTTTCTGTAACACAAATGCTGTCCAGCACACCACCATCACACTGAAGTATTAAAACGTACAAGTGTGACAATGATGCACTATAGCATCATTATGTCACACTGCAGCCTTTAAAAATATATCCCGTTAGACTCGATTATCCGTGCTAATGACAGGGAGGACGGCCGCAGATAATAAAAAAATCGCAGATAATACGAAAATATAACCATTTTTCACGGATCTCTATGCCAAAAACTGATAATATATGGGTTTAAATTACGTTTAAGTTAAGAAAGTTCAGTTCGGTTTAAGCACATGACTTGTAATAAAGAGTCCCAAGAATAATAGTGTATAACTGCTCTTAGATGATAAATTTGGGCTTAAGAGAAAATTCACGAGTTATTAATCGATGTCAAAATCTCCTGCATTTAGTTTCCCCCAAAACTATCCCGATTGTGCTGTGTCATGTCACAAGAGGAAGTATCCATTCAGGTCTCGCGCAGAACAGCGCACCCGCCCGTCATTGCGGACGCCACGCAGAAGCCAATAATCGCAGAGCGATTTGTGAGATCGCTTCATGGTGCTGTGTGGTCCACACAACGGCAGGGGGTGGCACTTTCCCACCCGTTCCACCGCACGGGAGGAATATTTGGCAAAACCAATTTCTTTTTGGAATTCTCACGAGCTGTAATTCGTCCAAATTAAGTGCAGGACCACAATTTGACGCCGACGGGGTTTACCGTGCAATAGCTGGCAACACCTCAGAGCGTTTATACCCGTTTCAGGAAGCTTCACACCTCGTGCGTCAGCCCCGGGATGAACAGCCTCCCTCGGTAGCAACGGGAGAAGAGCCGCGTCTCTCCGCAAGAAAACGACCAAAAATGTCCACGCCTCCTTCTCCTCCTCCTCCAGCCCTCGTCAGCTCATCATGGGCGCCGCCTCCGCCCCCTGGCAAGGGCGGTGGTGCCTCCCGTGGTGCCCCCCTCCCACCGGTGGCTCCCTCTGCCACCCTCTCCCCCCTCTCCCCCCCCCGCACCCTCCGTGCCCCCCGCGCCCCCCGCGCCCCCCTCTCCCTGCCCTTCCCTGCTCGGCCGCCGCCGCCGTCGCCGCCGCGTCCACCGCCCGCCCAGCGCCTGCCGGTGCCTTCGGCTCGGAGAAGAAGATGGTGGCGTCGATCGAACGCAGGTCCAGGTCTCCTGTGCCGGCCGGCAGCTCGTCCTGCGAGGTGGCGGGGTCAGGGTTGGAGTCAGGATCAGGGTTATAGTGAGGGTCAGGGTTAAAGTCAGGGTTATGGGATAGAGTCAGGGTGTGGGTTCGTCAAGATTATGGATCGAGTCAAGGTTATAGTCAGGGTGTGGGTTAGAGTCAAGGTTATGGCTAGAGTCAAGGTTATAGTCAGGGTGTGGGTTAGAGTCAGGGTTATGGCTAGAGTCAAGGTTATAGTCAGGGTGTGGGTTAGAGTCAGGGACCGAGTTGGCGTGAGCCCGTGCTGCCGCCGTGTTGCGCGGCAGCGGCGTCGGTCCCCCCCGCCCCTCGACGCCCACGCCCCCCCCCCCTCACCTTGGTGAGCAGCACGGTGAGGGTGTGCGCCGAGCGGCGCACCACCAACGTGTCGAGGCCGCAGCCCCGTGCGCGCGGCTCCCACGTCTCGGCCGTGACGCGCGTGCCGGCGCTCACCGCGCGGCGCAGCGGCGCGCCCGGGGCACGGCGCAGCACCGCGTCGGAGCACGACACCGCGCGGCCGCCTGCTCTCCCCGCGCCGCTGATGACGCCGCCGCCGCAGTTGGATGCCGTCGTCGGAACGGTCGCGGTTGACGCAGGCGAAGAAGTCGGCGTGCGGCCATCGTCGTCGCCACGGCGCACCGCCAGATAGGTTCACACATGCGCAGCGAACGTAAGGGGCGCGTTACGCACGCGCGCAACAAGCCGCGTGTCGTTTTAGATCTCAGCTCTTTGTGACGGCGCAGTCCAGAGGTGGGTCTGCTCGATTGTCGGTTGCTAAGATCTGTTCACCGTGCCGAACAGCACACGGCGTGACCAGAAAACACTTCCCGAGAGCTACGTTGAATTTCTTTCGCACCGTACGTAGCCAACCGTGCTCATCGGAGGTGCGGAGGAGGAAGAACAACTAGACACAAAAAAGCAGTTCTAAAGAATTACATTTTTAACCCGGATGATTTAAAAGTGCCACAGCTCCCAGTGGCTTCCTAGTATCGGAAGAACATTCAGAAGGAACAAAACGGCGAAAACCCAGAGCGGTGTACCCAGCCAGCCTGCCCACATAGCCAGCCCGCCAGCCCGCCCACCCGCCCGCCCGCCTGCCAGCCAGCCAGCCCGCCCGCCCGCCAGCCCGCCAGCCCGCCAGCTGTCCTGTCTCGCTCTTACCTCAGGAGCACGTGGCGAGCGTCGCCGTCGCTCAGGTGTCGCAGGACGCGCGTCACCACGCTGCGCTCCTGGCTGCCCTCGGCCACGTGGACCATGGGGACGTCCGGGGGCAGCCAGGGGAAGGGCAGCCCCGTGGGCAGCTGCTCCACCCTCGTCCGCTCGTAGAACTCCATGACGGAGGAGGGGGGGGGGGGTCGGGCAGTCGGGGGGCCACGAGGAGGAGGGCAGGCGGGGGCCGAGTTGGACTCGCGTTCACATGCCGCTGTGCATCGTCGCGGGGCGAAAGGGGGGACGACAACAAGGAAAAAGAGACGCGATTTAAATATTTCCCGACGAGATTTGAAGAAAGTGTTCGCTTCTTTTAGTTTCGTCAAATCTTTTTGTGTTACCCTGGATAAGCCCTCGAGATGGAACGTCTGCGTCGGATTTGGTCCATCATCTCAAGTGACACACGCGCAGCAAAACACAGCAAATGATGACACAGCGTGTGCCGACGTTTATGAAGATAAAAGCTTACGCAACGTATATGCTTATGCAAGTCAGAATACTGTACATGTACACAGGCGCGGTTCGTCTACTATAGGCAGTGGGGCACCTACCCACCAAGCAGCTGGAGACGAGAAATTATTTTTCGAATAAAAATACTTATTTTAAATGTTGTTGTGTTTAAAAAAAAAATTCTTTCAACGTGAATTGCCTAATGAAGATAACACATTAAGTTGTTTGTATTAGAAACCGCTGGAACACCGCTGTCTGATTTGCGGGGAGGTCTCGGGGTGGCTGTGAAGGAGTTCGCGTGAGAGATGTCCCTTCATTCATCGCGACGAGATTCGCATTTTGGCCACCCGTTTGAGACCCATTCAGGGCGGTGTCACAACGCGAGGTGGCACTGTGCAACTATAGCAGCTCACGGCTTTTGTCAGCGTCAAAGGGGGTTGTGTGGTGTGGACTTGAGGGTCATGGGGACAGCATTTGAGTGCTTTGTCTTGTTTCACATTGTTTATAAATGCTTACCGTTGGTAGCTAAGACAGTTGTATCAATCAAACGGGAAGGCCAATAACATGGCGAGGTTTTTTTTCGAAATTAGAACACCACAGGGATTCATCTTCTTGGTTCTTTCGGTAAAGTCACGTAGAAGGGAATAAAATAATAAAAAAATTAAAATAAAACATAAACCTAAATTATGTTTTATTTGTATTATTTTATTACTTCCCTTCTACGTGACTTTACCGAAAGAACCAAGAAGATAGAACACCACATTTTCAGAGGTCACTCACAACAGCCCCATCTCGTGGAGATGTTACGAGCTGCCACTGCTTGTACAGAGAGCACACAGCTGTGGACTCAACACGGCTTGCTCCGTATTCTTGTGTAGCAGGGAAATTGATGAGTTTTCAGGTCCATGCGGCGTACAGCCGTTTCAATCCGGGCAAAAACAATGTTTTGTCTATTTTTTGTGTGTCTCCCTTGCAAGGCCGTAATTATAATATATATTAAGTGGGACACCCCCCCCCCAATATATTGCTAACACATTCCTGCGGAGGGAGCTGGTAGGAACGTTGGGTTGCTCGGTCAATGGCCTGCAGGGTCAACGGCAGCGTGGTGTGTTCCGCAAATATGCCCGACTGTGAGGGCGGGCACAAGCCGGCGTGAGTAGGTTAAACGTTGAGTTTTATAAGGGCACCACGGGATGACCAACCCCTCCCCACCCAGCCCCACCCCTCCCACCCTCCACCCAGCCCCTCGCTCCCCTCCGCCCCCAGCCCCTCCCTCCCTCCCCACCCAGCCCGTCCCTGCACGACGGACACAATAATCCCCTGTGGGCTGGTGTGACCAGGAGATTCCTACTAGGATAAAATAGATTTCTGTTTATATGATTGTGGTTAAACAAGAAAAGGTAAAAAAAAAAGAAAATACAGAGCAATGTAATACAATACACTATTAGACATTATTGTAAAACATTAATAAAAATTCCATCCTATGTGTTAGTGATTTTTTTTTATATTTTAGGCAGGAAATTCCTTTTCAAATTTAGATTTTTTTTTCTGGGGGGGGGGAACCCCCTAAAAGATTTGGTCCCCCCCAATGTTGACTCCACGGCTACGGCCTTGCTCCCTTGTGATGGTGACTTTGTAGGATGAACGTTGAGATTTATAACGGGGGCACGGGGTGACCACTACGGTCTGAATTTGATCTGTAATAAGGTAGAGGACACTGATAAGGGGTTCATAGGAATGGCAGAGCCAAAGAAGAGCCTAGGGCTCCGGGAAATGAACATCGCACTATCGTCCTAACTAAACACCACCCCCCCCCCTCCTGAAATCGAATCCATCTGTGCGGAGCTTTGAGTGTCGTGGCGTAAACGTGGACACATTTTTGTCTTTGGGTTCTTCCTGAAAACACAAAAGTGTTGCAACTCAAACGCAGGTAACGAGTTCAAATTCTGCTTGTGGCCCATCATCCCTCCTCCCTCGGGGGGGGGGGGGGGGTCGATAAATCGAGTAACCCTCTCCACACCACCACTCAGAGAAAGTCAACACAGCGGGTTGTCGTATGGATACCCATAGAGGCCCCTTGCCATAAGAATGTGGATTTTGTTTTGGCTTTCTCAACACTGGCTCTTTCTTGTCTTAACTGAATGCTTACATCGCCTTAAGCAAAGGCGCTTTGTAAGGAACTAACCACGATGGCAACGTATGAATGTGATGGTGGAAGATGCGTCAGTTTGGTGTAAACCAGAGTAGCAATTCCGAATGATGCATCGCTTCAAATTTACAATGCAGTCGTTTGACTTGATGATAGTCGTTTCACCATTGGAACCTCATTTGCCAGTAAAAATATGATAAAAAAAGGTGTCAGTTTTGTTGCCAAATAGAAGGCTAAAAAAAACAATTATCATATTTTTACTGGCAAATGAGGTTCCAATGGTGTAAATGCTTCCCCCGAGCTCTCATACTCTGATGGTGCATTGTCTTTGAGTTGTGCGCCTTTTGGCGTCATCTGGTCCAACACAATGTGAGACTCGGCTCTAAGGAAAGCTGTCTCGGGTGTGGACCAATCAACTTCAAGGACAGTGCACATACATTATCAGAGTTATGGTTTTTGTTTGCATTATGACTGCAGGTATTGTGGTCTATGTAAACATGACTCCTTGTAAAAAAGGTGTCAGTTTTGTTGCCAGATAGAAGGGTACAAAAACAATTATGATAGTCGTTTCACTTTACAATATCATACTTTCACTTAAAAATGCAGTCATTTCACTTTACAATATCATACTTTCACTTTAAAATATCATACTTTCACTTAAAAATGCAGTCATTTCACTTTACAATATCATACTTTAACATAAAAATGCAGTCATTTCACTTAATAACATCATACTTCCACTCTACAATATCATACTTCCACGTTACAATATCATACTTTCACTTTACAATATCATACTTTCACTTTACAATGCAGTCATTTGACTTCACAATATCATATTTTCACTCTACAATATCATACTTTCACTTTACAATGCAGTCATTTGACTTCACAATATCATACTTTCACTCTACAATATCATACTTTCACTTTACAATATCATACTTTCACTTTACAATGCAGTCATTTCACTTTACAATATCATTCTTTCACCTTACAATATCATACTTCCACTCTACAATATAATACTTTCACTTTACAATAGTCATTTCACTCTACAATATCATACTTTCACTCTACAATATCATACTTCCACTCTACAACACAGTCGTTTAAGACTTTAGAACGCCGCTAAAACTCAAAGAGTTGCTCATTAAACGAGAGGCCTCAGACGAGTCGGACGCAAGCTCATAACTCCAACAGAGTTTAAAAACAATAAACAGTATATAAGTGTGTGTGTGTACACGAATCGCACGTTACAAATACAATGTCACAATTTAAAACAAATAATAATTAAATTAAACTCGCCACGTACGATGCAAGGCCTCAGGCCTTTGCAGAACTAAAACGCCACCTCGTAGCTTAAACGCTGCGACATTCACCACAAATAATACTAAATAACCCTCCACACACAGCAGTCGTCGTCTCGACGCGAAGGATTGTGTGGAACAAATCGTACCGCTGATTATAGTAATAATTATAATAGTTACAAAGTGTTGAGAAGAGCGAGCGACGGAGTGGATCCCTCACCGAGTGGGGTTCGTCTGCGGGCGCGGCGGAGACGGTCGCTGGCGGAGCTGACACACACACAGACACACACACAGACACACAGATTCACACACACACAGACACACACACACACAGATTCACTCACACACAGACACACACACTCACACACACACAGACACACACACTCACACACACAGATTCACACACACACAGGCACACACACACAGATTCACTCACACACAGACACACACACTCACACACACAGATTCACACACACACAGACACACACACTCACACACACAGATTCACACACACAGATTCACACACTCACAGATTCACTCACACACAGACACACACACTCACACACACAGATTCACACACACACACACACAGATTCACACACACACACACACAGATTCACACACACACACACACAGATTCACATAGATTCACTCACACACAGATTCACACACACTCACACACACAGATTCACACACACACAGACACACACACTCACAGATTCACTCACACACACTCACACACACAGATTCACACACACACACAGACACACACTCACATAGATTCACTCACACACAGATTCACACACACAGACACACACACTCACAGATTCACTCACACACAGATTCACTCACACACAGACTCACTCACACACACACTCACTCACACACTCACACACAGACACACACACTCACACACACAGATTCACATACACACAGACAAAGATCCCCCGTATAGCCTGAACAGACTGTAGGGGCAAGTGCTGTTAGCGAGCACCTATGAAGGCCGGAACGGTACACGAGGGGGTGGGTGGCCAGCGCCACGCCCGACCGCCTTTGTCTCCCTAGTGGCGATGTTTACACACCGCACCAGGTACTCATTTAAGGCTGAGTCGACCTAGGGGAGGCCCAGGACCGTTTCAGATAATCGTCACTGGTGTTTGCCGTGAGCGGGAATCGAACCCGGGTCGCCAGGTTCATAGCGCAGCGCGCTAACCACTACACTACCGCTCCCCACACACAGACACACACACAGATACACACTCACACACACAGATTCACATACACACAGACTCACACACACACAGATTCACACACAGACACACACACTCACACACACAGATTCACACACACACAGACACACACTCACACACACAGATTCACACACACACACACAGATTCACACACACACACAGATTCACACACACACAGACACACACTCACATATTCATACACACAGACACACACACAGACACACACACTCACACACACAGATTCACACAGAGACACACACACTCACACACACAGATTCACTCACACACAGACTCACACTCACAGATTCATACACACACAGACACACACACTCACACACACACAGATTCATACACACACAGACACACATACTCACACACACACAGATTCACACACACACAGACACACACACACAGATTCATACACACACAGATTCACACACACACAGACTCACACACACACAGACACACACACACAGACACACTCACACAGACACACACACAAACACAGATTCACACACACACAGACTCACACACACACATACAGACACACACAGACACTCACACAGACACACACACAAACACAGATTCACACACACACAGACTCACCAAGATACTTATACAGACTCGCAGAGACTCACAAAGGCTTACACAGACTTTGAGACTTACACAGACTCACAGACTTAGAGAGACTCACACTTCTCACACAGACTCGGCGACACTTATACAGACGCACAGAGACACACATAGACTCAGAGAGACTCACACAGACTTAGACTCACAAAGACTCACACAGACTAACACAGAGACAGACACTCACAGAGACTCACACAGAGACAGACTCACATAGACTCACAGAGACTCACAGACTCACAACGACACAGAGACAGAGACTCACACAGAGACAGACTCACATAGACTCACAGAGACTGGCAGACTCACAACCACACTTACAGAGACTCACGGACTCACAAGGCAAGACTTGTAAGAGCCTCGCTCAGGATTCGTGATACCAAAGGCTCATAGATCCAAACGAATGCGTTCTCAAGGCCAGGGGTGGGAAAACTGCAGCTCAGAAGCTGCATGCGGCTCTTTAGAGACTGCTTCGTGGCGTTATGTATGTGTAGTGTGTGTAGTGTATGTGTGTAGTATTCTTAGGTTTTTTCGGTTAAGTCACGTAAGTAAAACATCAAAATAAAAATAAAATAAAAATAAAATAAATAAAAAAAAATCACGACGTTTCGGAGGCAACACAAGTCTCCGTCATCAGGTGGGACCTGTGTTGCCTCTGAAACGTCGTGATTTTTTTATTTTATTTTTATTTTATTTTTATTTTGATGTTTTACTTACGTGACTTAACCGAAAAAACCTAAGAATATGAATCTTTGCAGTCACGAAAGCTTCAAATCTAGAAATATGTGTGTAGTGTATGTGTGCGATGTATGTGTATGTAAAGTGTCAACGATTCAGAGACAGAATTTCTAGGAGGCACCTTCTTTATTAAACAACTTCCACGGTCTCGTCCCCATACTTTCCGCAGTTACTTAGCCCAGCCTGTACACAACACTAGCCATCGAACACTGACGGCGCTTACTGAGATAGACCAACAACTTCCTGCAACGCAATGTCTAGCGAAGACAACAGCGACGACGAGACGAGTCCACTCCCAGAACCGGCAGCCTCGAGCTCCCCGCTCTCGGCTCCTTTTATCCTCCCAGCGCAGCCTGACCCCGCCCTGACCACGCCTCCCTTCTGGAACCCGCTAGCAAGTTCCAGGGGCCTCCAGATGGGGTCCTCCATGACCCTTGCCCTAGTTCCTCCACTCTGCCAACACACACCGTGCACACGCTCACTGGCGTGTGTCCTGTCTGTCCACCACAGCTGCCGCTGCTGTTCACCAGCCGGCGCTATTACACGACACGTATGCGATGTATGCTATGTATGCAATGTAAGTATGTAATCTTGTTGTTTTTAAAGTCACCCCCTGTGGTCTAGACAGAATTCTAAGGGTCCATTGGTCTCATAGAGCCAGGCTAAGGCACTCATTGTGGTCTCAGGCACTGAGACCACTCATTGTGGTCTCAGTGCCTGAGAGGGTGGGGAGGGACTGGGTGGGGAGGGGCTGGGTGGGGGGTGGGAGGGGTGGGGCTGGGTGGGGAGGGGCTGGTCACCCCGTGGTGCCCTTATAAAACTCAACGTTTAACCTACTCACGCCGGCTTGTGCCCGCCCTCACAATCGACCATATTTGCGGAATACACCACGCCGCCGTTGACCCTGGCCATTGACCGAGCAACCCAACGTTCCCTCCGCAGGAATGTGTTTAAACGGCCTTAACAGTTCACAGCTGGTAGACTGCCTGACTGGCGAAGCCAAGACGGTGAAGACTCCGGCAGCAGCACGACGGTGACCCCCTCACTCCACACGACAGCCCCGAGCTCCCCTCCCGGGGCCCCTCTTATACCGTCAGCGTGGCCTGGCCCCCTTCTGCAACCTACTAGCGGGTTCTCGATGTGCCCCTTCCGTGACCTTTCCCCTACATCCCTCTCGGGTCTATCACGTGACCTGCTGTCAGTCAGGGCCGCTGTAAGCTGCAGATCCCCTTCCCCACCAGCAGCCAGCGCTATGCTGCTACGTGACCGATTCTATGTCACTACACGAGTACTAACTCACCAGAGCGATGAATCGGATGGACAGGGTTCAGGTTCACTTGAACAACTAATCTTGTCAAAGCCTTAGACCCTACTATATACTGTATATGTATTCCCTTTTTAAGGTCACGCACTCACGACTCATGTGGCCACCAGAAGCTCGCACAGACGTGTTGAGTTTGTTTACTAGTGTTGTCCGGTTAAGTTAATAAAGCACTTCCAATCACGATAACAACAACAAAAAGGGTCTTATACGACAGTTCATCATTTTATTTTTTAACAAAAAATTGTCAACATTTAATAATTCAAAACATTTTTTTCTTCTCCCGTGATATCACCGTTGGACTACACTAACGTGGCAATGATAGAGACGCACCAACAGCTTGGACCATCGTCGTCATCGCACACCGTCATCGCACACCGTCAACCCACTGCTGGATGGGCAACGCGTCGAGATGACAAGAAGCGGTGTCGGTGGGTGGCGTCGGTGGGTGGTGGTGGTATAAGTGGGTAGTGGTGGCGGTGATGGGTGGTGTCGGTGGGTGGTGGTGTAAGTGGGTGGTGGTGGTGGTGTAAGTGGGTGGTGGTGTAAGTGGGTGGTGGTGTAAGTGGGTGGTGGTGGCGATGGGTGGTAGCGGTGGCTTCGTACGTGGCCTTTGTGACGCTGCACTGTGGAGCAGAGGTCGCAACCGGGTACCCGATACCCGTACCCTACCCGATACCCGGCTACCCATACCCGGCCGGGTACGGGTAGCCGTTTGTGACCCTGGTGCGGCCGGGTACGGGTACGGGTAGGCCGTGAGTCACTGGTAAGTAGCCGTTTGTCACTTATTTCGGGTAGGGTACGGGTACGGGTAGGGAACGGCTACCCGTACCCGGCCGGGTACGGGTAGCCATTTGCGACCCTGGTGCGGCCGGGTACGGGTAAGGAATCAAAACCCGTTTGCGACCTCTGCTGTGGAGGCAGTGCTCAGTGGTGGTGGCGTGGGTGGTGGCGGGAGGTTGGTGGTGGTGCAACGCACGTGGTCTCTGTGACGCAGCGGGATCATGGCTGTTGGTGACGACGATGGTGAATGGTAGCATCTCATCAGGGCTGCAGATGGGCAAGGCGTGGGGGGGTGGGGGCGACACATTACACACAACACGAATCGAAAATATCTCTTACGCGCGCGCGATGCGATGATGCGTGTACACAGAGCATAATAATCGACCAAGAATCGGTGTGGACCGCTGCTCCACCCTCGGGGTGGCGATGCTGCAGGCTCGGCTCTTCGCCGACGGTGGCGAGGCATTGCATGAGCACGTATGGGATAGGGGGGGGGCATTGGTGTGGAGAAATCAAAGTTGCTCGTGTGAAGAACGGTGTGGCCGGATTGTATGAGGGTCCATCAATAAGATTTTTTTAAAAATCCATAATCGAGTTTTTTTTTGTTGGGGTTAGATCGCGTAAATATAAACGTGTCGTTAAACCCGGCACAGCCAATCGGTAAGGTTTGTCACGGAAACAGAACGTGCCAATTCGTTACTAGTTCAGTACTAACCGGTGTGTTGCAGAGTAAACGCACAACATTTACAATCCGAGGATGACGTTTCGCCAATAATTACAACCGGCATCATCAGGCGGCAGCCACATTTGTGGTCGCGAAAGCCTCCGTGTTAAACTGTTCTTTTTAATAAAATACCGGCGTTCCTCGTATTAACGCAAACCTTCGGCCTTCTGCTCCAGAGCGCGAATTTGTAGTTACACAATTCGTCTTTTAGGGACATACTTCGCACTTTCGCTGTGAGTTTCAGTTATGCGCTCGAGAAAAAAAGATTGTAAGATATTTTTCCTAAATAAAAAAATATATTTTCAGTGATTAAAATATTCAATTTAACACTTCGTAGGAGGCTTTCGTGGACCAATATCATCCATAAGAGGTTTGTTTTTGGGGTTAGATCGCGCAAATATGTTTTTGCCTGATGATGCCGGTTGCAATTACTGGCGAAAAGTCGTACTCAGATTGTAAATGTTGTGGATTTACTCTCCAACACACCAGTTAGTTCTGAACTAGTAACGAATTGGCACGTTCGGTTTACCTGACAAACCTTACTGATTGTCTGTCGGCGGGTTTAACGACACGTTTATATTTACGCCATCTAACCCAAAAAAAAGTTACATTTTCAAAAAAGAAAAGTAACAATAGGTTTTACCTTTTCTGACAATAAAATATATTATCACACCATGTTTGTTTCCATGTTCACCATAAGTACTCTGTGGTTAACGCACTTGATTCCTTGCAAAAAAATTATATTTGGTTTTCGAACATCTTAACACTACTCCTGTTTTATTCCCATACAGGTTAAGCAATTTTCCTAAATAATAGGGGGTTTTCCCCTTTTTTCTGGCAACAAAACCGAAGCCTTTGGTACCTCATTTGCCAGTAAAAAATATGATAATTGGTTTTTACCCTTTTATCTGGCAAAAAAAAGGTGTCAGTTTTGTTGCCAGATAAAAGGGTAAAAAAACAATTATCAAAACTGAAGCCTGTTTACAGGGAATCATGTGTGCATTAACCACGGTCAAAATGCAAACAAAAAACACGCTCTGATAATAACGCGTTCGTTCGGAGTGGGCAGGTAGGAACTTGGTTGGACAGCGCATTCGTGCGATCCGTGTTACGCGACGCAAGCTGCGTGGGGGAAGCGCGTCACGTGGTGCTGAGCCCGCCCGAAGCACTCTATGAAATACAAATCGGGGGCTTGGCTATGCACGACAGACAAATAATCCCTGGTGGGCAGTGTGGAACTGTTGTTCCTACCTGTATAATGCATTGTCCTTGAAACTGATTGGTCCACACCAGAGACGGCTTTCTTTTGGGCCTCGTCTCAATTGGCGCTAGACCAGAGGACGCCAAAAGTGTATTTTTTGTTTGCATTTTGACCACAAGGATTGTGGTTAATGCACACATGATTCCTTGTAAAAGGTTTCAGTTTTGTTGCCAGAAAAAAAGGGGAAAACCCCTATTATTATATCTTGGTACTGGCAAAGGAGGTCTAATGATGTAGATGCCTATCCTTATTTTCCATACTTTGATACTGGAAAAAAAGGCGCTTTGATAGTTTTTATTTTATTTCTGACGCCAGCGGCCAGTGTCGCGGACTTGGGTGTCGCTGTCTTAGATCTAGTGGACATTGGTGAAAACTACTGGATGTGTGAAAAAGAGCTTTATAGCTCATCGTATTCCTCCAGTATAAATATTCTGAGATCTGCTGCCTCTGCTTGCATCGTGCGTTACTGCTGCAAGCAGCCCCCACGGAAGCATCCAAAAAGCGCTGACGCTACTCAGTAAGTAAATATTTGTAAGCGGCAATCTTTAAAAAATCTGAATTACGACGTTATTATACTCCTTATTAAGTATTTTTTTCTAATGTTGATAATGTAAAGTATTTCGTGTACACGTATTTTCTAAATCCAGGACTAAAAGAAGTTAAACGATACTTAAAAGTTTTCTTCGGTAACGCATCCCCCCCCTCAGAGCATGCATGTCTATGGGAAGATAGGCTTCAGTTACAGCGCGATTCGAATTACACGCCGTTTTTCAGGAACGCACATGGCGCGTTACGCGAGGGACGCCCGTGTGCATACGTGGTTTACACGCTTTTTATTAACTCACTCCGTCTGTTGTTGTATTCTCAAATCTTGTATCTAAATTTTTACCCACTTCCCAATGTGGTGTCGACTGCAAACTTGGTATACTTATGACATACTGATGACAATACTATATTCTATCATAAAAAACATCTTTTTTTATTTTTAAACACAAATTTTTATATGTTATGTTTCGACTTGGGTCGAATTGTCCACGCTCATACTGACGTTGGCTGTAAATCACCATGGTGCCTTACGTTATGGCAAGCTTCGGGGCCACTTCCTGGAGTCGTGGAGTTCTTCCATTACTAGTACGGTACATTTCATTAAAGCGTGTTTAAAAAAAAAAGTTTAAAGTTTTTTTTTAACTTATTAAAT